GTTACTATAAAAACGGATTATTTCATTATTACTTAAGGGAGATCAGGTTGCCTGAATGGTATATAGTGAATATTGTCACTGTATGTTTTATATCATACAATACATGAATAAAAATGACATATTGTTAAAATCTAAAATTATATCTTGTGTCTTGTGTAGTTTCTATACAATGCTTTTATTTTAGAACATCAGTTTTGGATGGAAAATACACGTTTTGGGGATACTTTTCAAATTCCATTTTCTCAAGACATTTACTTGAAAATATGATCATTTTCATAAATAAATCAGCAAAAACTCTTCTAAAAGGGTTCAAAGGTACATATATTACGTGAGATTTTCAGATGAGTAACTGACATTCAATGAAACCTAATCAATGACATCCGCTGAACATTGGAGCAAATTTCATCTAATGGAATTCAGGAGTTCAGTCGATACTGTGTCAAATAAAAACCGCAAAGACAGGGTAAAACAATTTTTTTTAACTGACAAATGAGATACGAAATTACGTCATGGTAGGAACTCGATCGTTCTAGCAACTAGGCCAGCATTCCACCATTTTTTTATCTACACATATATAACATCATATATATATATATATATATATGTGTGTGTGTGTGTGTGTGTGTGTGTGTGTGTGTGTGTGTGTGTGTGCTTTATGCTTGGAAATGTGATCTGAGGAACCAGGAAAAATCACTTTCCTGAGGAAATAAAATACAATCAATGGACCCTTAAGGTGGCCTGTTTTTTAATTAAATTATATATATATATATATATATATATATATATGTTTTCTGCCTGGTAAAATTTTAAATCCATTTATTGTTGAAACCGTTTGGTCTGATGAAGCGAAACTGAAATATCGATTTCGCGAAATAAAATATTACCATGGATTTCTAAAGTTTCCGCTTTATTAATTAATTATCATTTGCTCTGTTCTTACACTGAACTCTTTCTAGATCTATACCCTCTTTGCAATTATCAATACGGATTTAATTAGTTTTATCATATTATATATATATATATATATATATATATATATATATATATATAGTGTGTGTGTGTGTGTGTGTGTGTGTGTGACAATAAATACACTATACAGTTACTTATAATAAAAAAGCAAAGCAGGTGGCTTGAAGTTCGAACGGTATCGATAATTCGTTTACTATTGTCTACTATATTATTTTAATGTTAGTATCCAGAACTATTTTAATAATAAATTTCTGGACTGTTGATTAATTGCTTTGTCTTAGTTGTTATTTAAGTAACTGTATAGTGACTTTATTGCCACCCTGGATATGCGCACTGCTAATGAGTCCCAAATAGGTCGAAACTGCCATCTTATTATTTTGAGCACGATGAATTACTATAAGTTATTTATTTATTCGAGTAATACTTATTAACGTTTATAGGAAAAATGGGGTTGCATGCATATAATGAACGAATTCAGCAGGCACACAAGAAGAAAGACAAGGACATATTTTCTGACTGGATTTATTAAAAAACGAACATGAGAGGACTAGAAGTCCTACCAGGATTTATTAACTAGCTATCAACTGTAAGACAACAGAATGCCTGAAAGCTAAATGTGTCAACTGGAGACGTCAAAATCAATAGATATTATTTGAGTAGGTACTTTTACAGAATTTTTGATACCTAAGGTTTAAAATATTTTGTTTTTTTTTTAAATTAAAAATCATTCTTGCAGATTTCATTTTAGTTTTAACTGAAAGCTAAATGATTAAATTTATTATTTCCAGTAAGCAGAATATTCTGTTGTATTTCAGATAGAAATTATATAGATTGAAATGTCAAATGTTTGCTCAATTTTTTCAAATTTTTTTTTTAAAAGCGGCCATTTTCTTAATTTTAAGAAATCTGTAAACAAAACAAAATTATCGATTTTAAAAATCTTCCAAAAATAAAATATATATTTCTGATACGTTATTTGAGTAAAATTAGAAGATTAAAGTTAAATTAATCTGATTTGAAATAAATATTATATCTTATGTTACAGTGAAGGTTCGACGATCTCCTTTCAGATGAAAAGACTTGACGAGACAGAGATGTGTTTTTACCGACACATGATTAGAATATCATGGACGGAGCATGCGCGCAATGAGTGAATTTGAAGAAAAACAAGAAACTTGAAATCAGAAAGAGAATTGAAATTTCTGGGAGACGTACCGAGGGAAGAGGGCTTGGAAGTTTTAACAATCACAAGGAATATTAAAACCAGATAAGTTGTAAAAATCATCGAGTAACCTAATTAACGAATTTGAATGGCTGGCAAAGCAAGGACATTAAAATCAATGGTAAAGTAACAAAATTACTTCAGGTAATTGTGGAGAGTCATGATCGCTCACGTCCTGAAGTGGTAAGGACACACAAAATAAGAATATCTATCTATCTAAAACTCATATCATATAACTCGGCTCTATATATACTTATATTAGACTGATTATACCTCTGTTTGAATAATCATTTCATCGCAAGGAAGGCGATAATGCCACTGAGACCCAAAGGATTACTGGCAGTGAGTGAGAATGAAAATACTTTAATGAAGAGAAAGAACGATTAAAGTACTGAATTCAAGAGCACATATGATGGCGATTGAAGTTGCATTTAGATTTTTGAAGATTGTAGGTGACAAGGAACCTAGAAGGCGAAAGACAATTTCACAGGTGAGAAGAGCGAGAAAACAAACTATTAGAATAAAACTTACGGTTGCATCTAGCTATGTCAACAGTAAAAAAATATGAGACCTAATAGCCAATCTAGTAGTACGCTTAAATTCATGCGGTTGCGGTAACGAGGAGGAGAACTCATTAGAAAAACTGCCATAAAATTATCTCTCGAATTGTACAAAAGACATGTGGAACCTACACCCTTGTGCAAATTAATTCAAACAAAATGAATAATTCAATTATTATTTACTTTTTTTCGTATTTTTCCAATGAAACATGACCCAGTGCACATGTTAGTTCTTCTACGAAATCGTTCCTTGCTGATTGACCACAGATTGTCGATTGGATTTAACTCAGGAAACTTTCCGGACCAGTCCATAGTAATTTGATTTGCACACTGATAAGGCTTGCCAGTGTTTTCGTACGCTACCTTAGAGTAACGTCCATCGCAGACAATAGCTGTAGGACAACTAATCGACAGTTGAGTGTTTGGGCGTGATGAAAATCTGATGCAATCACGGATGACGCAATATTTTTCAAGGCCAAACAAATTTCATCAAACACTTCGAAAATAGATTCATATCGCTGCACACCACTGTAAATAACCTGATCTGAGAAAAAATAGAAATCGATTACACCCTATCACTCCAGGGGATCTAAAACTGACCGTATGGTGAAAGATAGGAAACTAAAGCAGTTGTTTCAATCAATTTGCAGAAGGGTGTACGTCAAGGTGGTCGGAAGGTATCAGAAGTCAAGATGCCAGGTCAGGAGCTATAATATTACAGGTCTTTCTTTGGATTTTGTCAAGAATCACGAGATGTGTAGCTGCAGCACAAAACCAGTTATGGTAGCAATATTTAACGCACGGACGAATAGTCGACGTATAAATGTGCAAGATGAATTCCAATAACCAAAATTCCTGGCCCGACACAATGAAACAAACTTCTTTGCAGCAGATCTCAAAATTAATTTATTATAATTGCTCTACTTCATGCTAATCTAAAACGTGAGATCAAGAAGACGCAACAAGTAGTTTTCCTGGAAGTGAGCTTCAGCCGTACTGATGGAGGGCAAAAATGGTTCTGAATAGTGATTAAAGGATAGAACACTGTTTACACTGCTCGGACTATCATCCTCATCTTTGTTGCTATATTTATCACAATGTTTCGGCCGTTGTACGCTCCGGCCTTCTTCAGGTGGTTGGAATGCCGAACTTAACACTTTATTTCGCTCACTGGGGTAAACTGTTCTAGTTCCACGTGCCATGTCTAATGGATGTCAGTTATCAGTTATCTCCTGTTAATTTCCCTCTCCGTGTTCTCCAGGTATTGAACTCACACACTTTAGGTCCTGTCACTGGATCTAACTAACGCCTTTCCTCAAGGACACATGGCGGACAGACAAAAAATGGAAATAGAAGAAAGACAAGGGCGTATTTTCTCATTGGACATGTTGAAAAACGAACTGATCCTCAGAGAACTAGAAGTCCTACCAAGATTTATTATCAGTCGATATAATTTTAGCAACATGATACGCGAGTGACACTGTGAAAAAAAACAAAAAGAACACTTATAGTTAGAATCTGATGGAAATTGGAGGCTGGGAAAATTTGACACTCACAGAACATATTGAAGGCCAAAGTGACAAAGGGAAGCAACGGGTCACCTACCTGCCGACTATATGAATGGAGTGGCTGGGATAGGAAAACGACAGACATTACAAAGTTGTTGTTTTTTTCTATATTAATTAGCCACCAATACATGGACGAACAGCCAATCATGATAGAGAAATGCTAAAGGAGGTTGTGTATGAACATAAGAGGAGGAGGTATGAAGTGCAGATTATGAGAATATGTAGGATAGATAACGGCTGACCCTCCCCTTGAAGAGGTTAAGATTGTAATGATCGGAAAAGCTTACTCTCGGGATTCTGCTCCACAAATTAGCGGATTTGGGGAAGAAGCTGTTCAAATGGAATTTCCTCCTTACTAATGGAATACGAAAGGAACGAGGATGGTTATTTCTCAGTGTACTTGGTATTAGATGTAAAGGTCTGAACTGGTGAAACTGATGAATGTAGCTCTTTAGAACATTCGCCATAGAAATAGCGGTAGAAGTCGTGATTGCCTCGCGATGTTTCGTTTGTGGCAATATAATTAACCATTCACAAGGCCGCGTATATGTTTTAAAACACTATAACGTCTGGAAAGGAATGAATAGACAGCTACAAATAATAGGCAGTTATGGACAGCCATAATCCCCCACGTCCTGAATGGTTATTGGGTTGGTTGAATATATCAGTGTACCTACATTTATGTATATCTATTCGTCTTTGTTTCTGTCTATCTTAGTTAAAAACTACTGACATTTTTATGTCATTCATTATCCAGTGTTTCTCAACCTTTTTAAGCAACGGTAAAAATAAGAGGAAATGAAAATATCACAGCACACTTAGCAAACTTTTTAAAGGATATGTATTTAAATGTTATGATATAAAACCGTAATTTTTTTTAAATAAACATAAATAAATATGGATTTACTTTATTTATATGTTTCTATTCAATTATTTGTGCAGCTTATTTAATGTGAAACCTGGCGGCGTGTGTGTGTTTGCGATTTCTTCAATATGTAGTCATTGTGTATTAAACAGACCCTCATTTCTTTCTCGCATCTTATTTTTTTATGTTATTTAGGGTTGAAAATCTTAATTCACATAAATAAGAAATAGAAAATTGCAATAAAACAGACTTTTTAGCTAATGTGGAATATTCCTTTTGTATTGAAATCCATAATATATCAATAACTTAGAAATATAGACAAATTTTGATCACTGTCCGATGGAATACTGCATTTTGAGTTTGTTTCGTACGGTCGTGGCATCAACGCTAAATTGTATTGCCGGCAGCTAGACCACCTGTACAACAAACTAAAGAAGGCGTATCCTGCTTTGGCCAGTCGAGTTCGGGCTTTGTTTCAGCAAGACAATGCGAGGCCACACACTGCCAGGTTGACTAAGGAGAAGTTCCAACAGATGGACGGTGTTCAGATTCTTCCACATCCACCGTTCAGTCCCGATGCTGCTCCGAGTGACTATGGCCTATTTCGTTCAATGGCACACTTTATCCGCTACCAGAGATTCAACGTTTTTGATGAAGTACAGGAAGCTTGTATAGATTTTTTTTATTCAGAGCCAACGGACTGGTATCTGGGACAGATTAGGATACTGGCTGATTGCTTGCAGAAGATCGTCAAGAATAATGGACTTTATTTTGAAAAATAAATATTGGTGCTGAACCATGAAATTATATTGTTTTCTTTCCGCTTCCTAAGTGAGTCAGGGCTTTCTTGCCAACCTAATATGTGTATACCGTGACAGTATTTCGCAGATATTTAAGGGGTTCGCGTGGTTCACTAGTGTGCTACAGCACGTCGGTTGGGAATCACTGCCTTAATCTATTCTTTTCTATCCGTTATCCTATTTCTCTGTCCGTATCTAGTTCAGAAAATTCAGAAACAAAACAAAAGTATACGCGTTTCAAAAAGCATTTTAGTACGTCCTCTCTAGTTACGAGGCGACATTTTATCGACAGAATGCAAGAACTTCAACTCACCACGCAAGAAAAGTGACTAATCGACACTTATCTATGTCGATCGGTTGGGTGGTCGGCCTCTCTGTATCAGAATGCGAACGATCAAACATTGATACGAGACTATCAGTCAGTCAGACACCAAGCCAGTGTCATCCATACGGACTGACAATCCAATTCTACAGCCATTGACACAGCAAACGTCCATGTCGCATCTACTTCTACAGATTTCTTTTTCTTGAATTCCCACCCTGTCACCTTTGGTCGATATTTCTTTGTTTAAGTTTTCTTCCTTCACACATCTTTTTCCTTGCTTATCCTATTTATTTCTCTTTCATGCTGCACAAAGTTCAAACCTCTTTTTTTCATTTTTAACGGCTTTCATTTTTATTCGTTTTTTATTATTAATTTTTCGATTATCTCACTAATTTCATTCCTATGATATTTTTTTTTAATTTATATAACCTCCTTTTCTTAAATGTTTTGATATTTCATATTCGATTTCATTTCATTTATTTTTATTTTGTCTTTCGTTTTTTTCTTTTCTTCTTTCTTCATTTTTGGCTCGTTTTAAAAATCTTTCTTATTTTTTTCTTTTTCTTATATTCTTTCTTTTTTCAGACGACTCATTTTCGTTTTTAATTATTCATTTTGTCTTTTTCAGTTTCCTACTCGGTTTTCTCCTCTTCTTCTCATCCATCTATCACCCTATTTTCCTTTCTTTTCTTTTTATCTGATGTCGTCATTTACTTTCATTCTCTCTCTTACACTTTTCTTCTCTTTCTCTTCCTCTTCTTCTAATCCATCTATCTCTCTATTTTCCTTTCTTTTCTTTTTATCTGATGTCGTCATTTACTTTCATTCTGTCTCTTACACTTTTCTTCTCTTTCTCTTCTTCTCATCCATCTATCTTTCCTTTCTCTCATTTTTCTTTTCTTCTTTCTTTTTTTTTACTTCCGTCGCCTATTGCCTACATTCTGTCTCTTTTTCTATATTTTTCATTGATCCTTTTCGAGCTTTTTTTCTTTTTTACTTCAAAGAATCTACTTTTTTTATTTCTTTCTTCGAATCTTTCTTTCTTTCTTTCTTTTCTCCTTCTATTCTCGTTCCTTCCCTCTCTCTCACTCTCCTCTCCCTCCGTGTTTTTCATTTTCTATTTTACCATTTGTAAATTTTCTTACTTTTTCCTTTTCTTTCATATTTTCTCATCCAGTTTTCTAAATCTGTTATTTTTATTCTTTTTTTTCCTTTCATCCAACCACTTTTCGTCTATTCCTCACATAAACGTCAATTCCTCACATATATATATATATATATATATATATATATATATATATATATATATAACAACGAGGAATACAGAGAAAAGGAGGAGTTGATATATATATATATATATATATATATATATATATATATATATAAACTCCTTTCTTTTCTTATGTCTTCCCTCCGTTGTTATTTCTCTCTCTTTCACACCCAATCCTTATTTCTTTTTCAGACAGGTGTCTAGCACCGAAGTTGGTCAGGCGTAAAGTGGATTAATATATCGCCGTACCCTACTGCATACACCCTACCATTCATCAGGCCTTCGTTCTGCTCACCGAGAGGTTTCTACCCTCGTGCTAGACTTAGCAAAACACCCTAACCCTTACGTAGCTTCTGTCGCCGACCCCAAGCAGACCCAGTACACGCAGTTATATTGATTCGTGTTGCATAGAGAATGCAGACGATTCCGACAAACACTAACCCCCGTAACCCAACCTCTTCCATTCGACCTCGTCTGATGGAACAACAACAACAACAACAACAAGCAGTTGAAGCAGCGCCGAAAAGAAGAAGAAGAAGAAGAAGAAGAAGAAGAAGAAGAAGAAGAAGAAGTGAACCACGAATTAACGCCACTGTCCGGGTAGATACTGCAACAATAAGCAGTAGTAGCTGCAGTCACTTGACAACGGATGCAAAAATCCGTCAGCATCATCATCACTATCATTGCTAACATCGTTATTGTTAAGTTTTCCAACAACGATGTTATTATAATGACTTAAATCGTAGCCGCTGAGAAAGAAAGGTTTATATCATTGGAATTATAACCAATCAGGAAAAACGATAATATTGTTGGTAATGCTGCGTTAGTTTCTGCCCAGAACAATTTCAAGAACATCAAAAGAAACCAGGAACAACAGCTTTACAAAGCTTATGATCATTAGTATATATATATATATATATATATATATATATATATATATGTATGTATATATATATAATGGTGGCTATTTTCTTATTTTTTCATACACACTCCAATATACGATCTCCTATTAAGAAAGATATCTTATTGAATGTTGGCTGATTGTCATAATTTTTTTAAAAATAAGAGAAGTAGCCAACATTATATAAAATCTCCCTCAATAGGTATTCTTTATATATATATATATATATATATATATATATATATATATATATATATATATATATATATATATATTTTAAGTAAATCATCTGTTTATAATAAACAGTATTAATAACATTTACCCGCCTGAATGCCTGAGAAATTTTATAGAAAATAAATGTCCTCCGACAGGAATTGAACCTGTATCCTACAAAATAGTCTTATATATATATATATATATATATATATATATATATATATATATATATATATATATATATATATATATATATATATATATATATATATATATATATATATTATATATAATTTAATTCAATTTAAATAGATAACAGACAATCTTAAGGGACCATTGGTTATAAATAATTAATAATATATATATATATATGTGTGTGTGTGTGTGTGTATGTATGTATGTATGTATCAATTGCTATTTCCAAGGAAACTGTTCGGAAGTTATACATTCCTTAATTCCACCTTGTCTAACCTTCACGACTAAGATCCGACGTGCCACGCACCTTTTTAGGGAAGAACCTCTGTGTTCCATTGAGGAGATGAGAGTTTCACTCGGACGGCTACATCTCACCAGCTGCTGCTTTGTTCAAACGACACCCAAGGGGATGCTTACGCGATCACCTCAATCTTAACTGAGTATAGGGTCAACAGTTACCTTCCCCACATATGCTACGAGCTGTGCTTATTACTCTATATCTCTCTATCCCAAGTCCACATTGTACTGGGTGAAGATTATTGTATGAAATATACATACGATATATATATATATATATATATATATATATATATATATATATATATATATATATATATATATATAATATATATCACGATACATTTGTCGCTTATATTTTCTAAAATTGTCAACGATGGTCTGTCTATATTCCGATTTATCATGACGTGAAAAAATAACTCACCCTCTGAGCATAATTTACTATTTAGCGTAGATCTGATATTTAATTGGTTAATCAAGACATACCCACAAATCTGTTTTTAATTCTGGCCTTATGTATCCCCCACTCCCACATCCATTTAAATTTCGGAAAAGAGGTAACTTGCTTTTAGATTTCCTTAAAAATCATTTAATCACCGGTTACTTACCATCGCCGGAAGAAGTACAATCATAGTATTGAAACATGAAAGCTTTTGTGCAGGGATTTCAAAATGTTTTTTTATTATAATCTTTTATAATAAAAATATTAAGATATTGCTCTACTTTGTAATGAACACTTTAAATAAAGTAAATGCTACGAATTTTACTATAGCTTTTCTTTCTCTCATTTGAATATATATATATATATATATATATATATGTGTGTGTGTGTGTGTGTGTGTGGGCGGGTTTGTATAGATATATATATATAAGCTTCCGCATATCTATAATTATATTCCTCATTATCATTAGCAGGAGGATATATAGAAGTAAATAAATCTTATATATATATGAAGATGTATATATCTATATATATATATATATATATATATATATATATATATATATATATATAGAGAGAGAGAGAGAGAGAGAGAGAGAGAGAGAGATACACAGTAACCAGCTAATAAAACTTAGAAATATCCGTGTATATATTTTTGTGTATTTGTATATGTTAATAATTATATAAGTATATATGAAAATATAAACGTTTTTCCTTGACGCACACACACACACACACACACACACACACATATATATATATATATATATATATATGGTGGACTCTCCCGTCGTATTCGACGTATGAGGGTCAAGTAGCTCAGTTCCTAGGAACCGACAGCTAGACACCAGCACATGTGATTTGATTATAGTGGTCCTTCTCCTAAACCAGTTGCCATCCAAGGCTAAACAACCCAGTCTATCCTGCTATTTACCCATAGCTGGAGGGAGAAGAAGAGGATTCATATATATAGTATGAAATTGTGTTAGGAGCTAAAATTGCTGGTTGTTTTTCCGTAGTTTACTCGTGGGAAAGCATTTCTGTCTCATAGTGCTCGATATTAAAATGTAACGATAGAACATTAATAGAATTAATGTGGAGAAACTTGTCACTTAACCGAGTGGTATTATTTCAGTCATGCCGACTTCGAAGTTTCGTGAGTGTGTTGTTGTAATGCCTTCACTCTTCAGGCCTAGTGACTTCTCTGCTGCTACTTCTCAACTTTATATATAGTTTGGTGGAATTTAATATCTTTGTGTGAGTGTGTGATTTTTTTTTTTTTCACTTAATGAATGTTGTATTATCTGTTTTTATCTTTAGGTTTTTTGCTGTTTCTTAAGTGGTGCAGGTTTTCTTGTTTGTTGTTTGTTTTGTATTGTGCTGACCTCTTTTGACCGTGTTTATCTATATGCTCCTTAATTGTTTTATGCAGGATTGACGTCGTTTTACTGTGTTGAGCTGACCTTTTTTATACCGTATCAGTGTGAATGGCCACTTGATTTTTTTTTCTTTTTTTACTTATTTTCAGTCATGTTTCACTGCTTGTGCGTTTTTGCGTGTGTGTATGGTGGATTTTGATAATACTTGCTGATATTTGTATGTATGTATATTTCTTTGTTAGTTTGGTGTGTGTTTTTTGTGGGGTGAATGTTGTGTTCTCTAGTTGTTCCTTTCTGTTTTTTTGTTTTGTCATTTGGTGTTTTGTTTGGTTGTGATTAAGTATTTATGCATGTGTGTTTATGTGTATATGTGGTAGATTTGTGATTGTAATCGGCTTGTGTCTTGTGTCGTGTTTATTTATTTGTTTCTGTATTTAAGTAGCAAAATAAGAATTTATTTGTCTACATTGACCGATTATATCTTTTTTTCTTGTTTCGTAGTTTGCTTTAGTTCTTAAAGGTAATTATTGTTAACTTTTCCTCCAGGCATAGTTTACAATTTCTGCTATTGCTATTGCGTGGCAATGTTCTTTTTAATTTTGGTAGTAAAGTTATTTTCTTTTGGGCTCCATTTTGATAGTGTCGTGTTGTTTTTGTATCTCTCTGATTAAAATGATGCTTTGTGATTGTTAAATCTTTCTTTAAAGGTTGTTTCTGTGACGCCTGTATAATTTTTTTTTATCTGTGTTAATGTTATTTGTCACGATGGCTTTATATATATATATATATATATACAGATACATATCTATATCTATGTGTGTGTGTGTGTGTGTGTGTGTGTGTGTGTGTGTGTGTGTGTGTGTGTGTGTGTGTGTGTGTGTGTGTGTGTGTGTGTGTCCCACTCGAAAAATGAGCATTCAATTCCTGGCTTTTTAAATTAGGTTCATTCATAGCTCGTAACTGGCACTGGGAAAACAACCAAGTTTATATATATATATATATATATATATATATATATATATATTAAAAAGAAGAGAGGTACCGCAAACGTTTTTGGTTGTAATGTAGATTTTTTTTAAATTATTATCCTTTATTTTCCATAATTTTACTACACGTGTTTCTGGTCTCGTGACCGTCTTCAGGTAAAAGGCGGAGATTTCCACATATTATTAAAAATAATTAATTTTTTTCTTTTATGGTTTTCGATGTTAAATATTCTCGATATGAGACATTCTCTGTTTTTGTGTTAGTAATCCGAATTTCATTCTTGAACTGGCAGTGAAAGTTCTCCGCGAAGGGGCATAAAACAATTAAGATTGGTCCAAGAGAAATGATGAATTACTTATCGGTATCTTATCTTTTAATGTTTTAATGACCCCTGTGTGTTCTTAGATCTATTTCCATTTTCGTGTGTTTCTGTCAGCATGCGTGTATC